TAGAGACTGGGCCGACCCCCAGATTACCCTTTTTCCTATGACACATGACGTACAGGTAGAAAAAATAACATATTAATTTTATGATGGTGTGCACACAATTAATATTTAAGAGAAATATCATTAATAGTATTAGTTTTTTAACACTTACGTTAGTAGAAGAGATGGCTGGGCACACAGGAATGGGGGTTGGTTCCGAGGCAGAGGGCAGATTACCCTCACCTGTATCACTATCCACCACAGCTTGCAGGGCCTCTTTGTCAAACCCTCAAAGTCCATATCCTCACTATCACTGACTTGGGCTGGCTGTGGCGGTGAAGAACTCGGTAATGTTTTGTTGATCACGCACCAGCACTTTACCCGAGACCGCTCCCGCCAGAATGATGGAAAATACCACGAATAAAATTGTCGGTCTGGCAAGGTGCCGCAGAATGACCAAACGCCAAACGAAATCCGCGTAAATCGAGACTATACTGTACTGTACTATTATTTAAATGAAGTTGAAGAGATAAAATTACTGATACCTACTGTATTGTACTGTACTTTGTTCACAACTAATTATGTAATCAATTAGTGTATATTGTACAGGGTATACTGTATTATCTTTTCTGATAAATGAAACTGATTGGCTTATAATATTAATTTATGATTGTATGAAAAATTTATGAATACATTTGGATCACATAAAGATTAGCTGCCAGTTTATTTCACCTGAAGTTTAACTACCATAACACGAACCTAACCTCCCCATGTAGTATTAAGAGTATTTCATCATTGGAAGTGTGAAAAGGTTATGTTAAATGTACCACTGACTCTGAACATCAGAAAATACACACAAAAAGGGCTAAATGGTCTCATTATACTGGACCCAAAAAAGTATACAGTATAAACTACAGGTGAGTTACAGTAAGGCAAAAGTAAAAAATACAGGTCTGACATGAAGTGAGGTGGTCACTTCATAGCAGTGGTCCAAGCTATTGTGCAGGCCGCTATAGTCTGTTTAAATTCATGCGCAGCAGCTTTCAACTGTGTTAAAATGTAATTATCCATCATTCTCCAGAAATTAAAGTGGTAATTAGAGGTCCTGTGTTATTTTGTGACCTATAATTGGTGACACATTATTGGCCGACTCCACTGTATATCATTTTTTCATAGAAATATTTCATACAGCACAGGGTACTTCAATAAAGAGAAGCATACATTAATAAAATTTATTTGAGAAGTCATTTCCTATGTGTACAGAGTTATCTCCAAGACTGCTGCATCAAGTTGAAATAAAATATATCTGGTAAGTATGTAACCACAGTTGCTGTGAACAGCTGGATGAGAGGTGGGATTTATCTTTGCTACTGGATGATTCTTAGAACCTCCATACTGTACATAATTATAATACACAAATTTGTACATTCTACAGTGATGAACCATCATTTTTACCAACTTCCCTTAGTGCAGTATCACAAGACACACAGGAATTGAGTAACAGCACATTTATGAACAATTAATATGTTTCACTTTTGTTCCATTGCAAACTTTGCCTTTGGCTGTCTCCTGTGTTACGTAATATGCAAAATACAGATTTCATGGATATCGGAACAAAACTACCCCTACAATATGCAGGAAAATACAGTATTATGTATATCACACATAAATAGCACTTGATTATGGAAGGTCATGTTTCAGTTGAATGTATTTCCCACTGCAGATTAAGTGCTCAATACAGTACTACTGGCCAACTCGTGCCCCGATGTACCAACGTTGAACAAAACTTGAGAGATCTGCAATTCCCCATCATAAGAAATTATTACTTTTGGCTCCCAGGTGGTCATAATGGATTCAATATCATCAAGTACTATAGTCTGTTCACTTGAACCCCTGCAACTGAGGCCTAGCAGCTGATTGCCATTTTTAGTATTTAATCTATCGTATTTACATTCTGATATTTTATATCTTGGAGAACACAAACATAATGAACTAATTCTGAGATCGTTTGATGTCATGCAGCGAAAATGATTGTCACTAAAATTTTGTATAGTAATCTTTTTCTTGTTCTCTTCAAGTTATTTATGTTACCAAAGCATTTCACATGTTAAATTTAGCTCCCTCAAGTGTGGAAACTATCAGAGATCAACAAAAATATAATATAAATACGATAGATTCAATACTAAAGAAATGTAGTGACTTTTCCCATGTCCATTTGCCAGCCAATCAGGTGCCTTACTACAAATTGGCCCTCGGCCACAGCCGCAAGGTTCAAGTGAACGGACTATACAGTAGTAATTATAATAATGAGTAGACCAGAGCTTGGAAGATAATTGTCCATTTACACTGTACTACTGTATACATGTCACATAAGAATGCTAGTGCAATGATGTTAGGTTGTAACATCTCACAACACATATAACATTATTCCTGAGAAAACAAGTTCCCCTTTAAAGCCTAATTTCATCTCATAATTTCAGTGTTCCAACAACTACAGTACCTTGTTGTCACATAATAATAAACCAGACACTGGAGAGGAACTGCATGTTATCTTTACATGCCATATTCAGTACTGTATTATAATTTTCTCTTGCTATTAAGTTTTACACAAATAATTTCCATATATTATGAGCTGGAACTTTCAACTTTAAAAATAATGAAATCATAAATAATCCATTGTTAAAGTACAATTTTATGGTAGTTAAAAAATCTAAGGCTAATTGTCTGAAATTGTATATCACAATGAAAGAAACTTGAGAGTAACCAAAGGTTTGAGAATGTATACACAGGTGAGTTAATTTTGAGTTAAGATTTGTTGGTACAGTTGAAAACTTCCAATGTGTAAAGGTACAAGCAACACTGCACAGACAGCCACCTGACCATCTCAAAATTTTTGTTCTCTTTTAATACTTTTTTGGCATAAATTATACCATGGCACAAAGCTGAAGGTGGAGTCCCAGTCTTAATTACTCTACTGTGACCCTCTGTATACTGTACCCCATTCCTCACATCAGATGGCATGTCTATGTATTTATTACTTTTGGAATAACATGTACAAGCATACAGATGCTTCTGGTACTGTGGTCCAGACAAACATTTGCTTATTCTGAAGATAATTCATGATAAAACCTATTGTTACTTTGCATTATAGTTTTACACACACACAAACAAAAAATAATAAAATAAAATAAAAAAATAAAAAATAAAAATAAAATAAAATTAAAATAATGTGCTTACTTAGGTTTACTTAGGTAGATATCTCGGTTCAGGCTTCTGAAGCCTCTATGTCTAGACTTTTGACATTCAAAATCAACACTGCCAGTTGTGGAAACATAACCATTTGGTATCTTATGTGCAAGATTATTTTTATATGGCAGTGGTGTGGGAAAATTAGATCAACTTTGACCTAAGCCTGGGATCAATAATTTCACCAAACATAATCCTTGATATGAAAAATGCTACTGTATTTCAACAGGAAAAAAATCAATACACATTATGACATAACATACAGTATGATACTATGGATAATTTATCTCATTAAAGTCTCATATCAAGGGAATACAGCACTTTTTCTACATAAAAATAATCTTACATCTACATAAGAGCCACTTATATTTTCCACTAGAGTACTGTACTGTAGTCTGTAAGTACAGTAGTCTACTGACTTTTATATACATCAATTAGGTGTGCACAAACAAACTTGGTTTCATTCATACAAATTGGGGTCATTTCTGGCATTATAACTGTGATTGTCTACATAGAAAAATATAGATGAAAGCCAATATTTTACAATACTGTACTAATAAAAATATGGATGCTTTATCCATTGCCTGGGCCCAGCTCAGCTTTGTTGAGTAAACATCTAGGAACCAAATGAAGGTCGTTATCCTTGTTAACGTCGCATTTCATTTGCTAATTTTTTCCAGTCGTTTCAATATTTTCTGTACCATCTTATTATGTCATAGTACAGTACAGCACACCTGTAAATTAATTAATGAAATTTATATATTACGCTGAATACATGTTTTTTATTTATTTATTTCTTTGCTCAGTCACAGACTATCGGAGAAGTTAAACTTTTCATCAAGGACATCTTATGAATGAATTAGGATACCGTACATTTGAATACCTGCACTGTTCTGTAGTTAAGAAACTGATACAGTCCAATAATTCTTCAGTGTCTAGTGGCACCATGGATATTTTCAACAGGTTCTTGAACAATATTTAATAACTGATTTAATGATAGCATGTGACCCCTACATAATGTAGACAAAACTGGAGATTTGGGAACATCATTGGGGAAATTAAATCAATACCTGTAATTATTATAGGAAAAAAATTACATATAGACACTATACTGTAATGAGTAATCTTAAAGGGGGTGTTATCTTATATAAATGTCCATATAATTTATAACATGCAGCACATGAGTTCCTGGCCTGTATAAAAAACAAAACTGGGCATACAAAATTGTCAAAGACAATTAATGATACAGTACATTCATGCTATGGTCTTAGAACAAAATATTTAACTATGTTAACATACAGGATTGCACTTACTACCCTGAGTCTTTATGCATTAGCCTATATGATGCTGCGATCTGCCTTTGGCATCCTCACATTGTGTTGTGATAGGCCATGAAAATTGAACGGAATCTCAAGTAACACTTTTAATTCAAACACAGGGTCTCCAATGGTACTTAAAGGCTTAGCAAAAATGTTCATAAATTAAAACAGTACTATAAAAATAATTTAAGAAACAAATACATTTAAAATAAGTAAAAACGGAAACTTTTAATACATTCACAAACATGAGGAGTCAGAAAAAACAACTAAGTTTAGGATCAGTTATATAACCTGAGATACTTGAGAGATAATGTATATTGCCTTGTTCTGTCTCAATAAGTTAACGTAAATGATATATATATATATATATATATATATATATATATATATATATATATATATATATATATATATATATATATATATATATATATACTGTATATATATATATGCAACAAAATTTTTAAGAAATTTAAATTTCATTTAAAAATTAAATTAAAAAAAGAAAGTATTTTCAAAGTTAAAACCAGGTAACTTTAGGCCTCACCGGGTGTAACTAGACATTAGATCATCCCTAACAAGTTCGTTAAAGTTACAATTACAACACAAGTGGAGTTTTTACAAAAGAGAATATCCTCTACTGAAGTAAACCTCAAAATACACAGTACTGTACGAAAAGACCTTCAAGACTTAAGCATACTGACTGAAATGTCCTTAAACTGTGAACTGCCTCAAAGTAAGGAATGTGGAATAAAATACTGATAGGTAACAGATGTTGAAGAATAAAAATATATAACATCTAGCAGTAAAATAGTAAAAATTTTAGTATTTTCCATAATCTTGGTATACGGTTATGTACTTATTTTTTAACAAATAATTTTTTTCAGGTCACTTCAATAAATTTAAAAAAAAATTCATAAAAATATTTTATCCTTTTCCATTTCATACACAAATAATTCACACAATCTGAAAATAACTTCCACATAGGTTCTACCTGTGCTATATGTCCACATCTACATCACTGTTGTCTGATGCACTATTAGACGTTGATCTGTCATCGTTGATTAGAAGTTGCGCTGGCACAGGCGCAAGAGACAGACTGACAGGCTTCACAGCTAGGCCAGTGACAGGATTGACACCGAGTCCTGATGACAAGGGGGTTTGCACCATCCCGCCACCAAGACTTATTAACTGATGAACTCCACTGGCCACAGCTTGTACATTGCTCACACCATGCACAGCTTGTACAGCATGCATGGCCTGCACTGCTCGGATAGTTTGAGGCAATGTTGTGTTTGTAATGATGGCTGAAGATGTGGGAGGTGGGATGATGCTACTGGAACTAGTGGTCGTGGTACTGTTAGTGATGGATGATGACGTACTACGGCCATGTACAGGTTGCACTTGATGAATCTGAATGTTCGCTAACTGTGGGATAACAGGCCGTACTTTTTTCCCACCAGGCCGATGAGGGTTCCGGCAGCCTCTACAGCGACACTCTATACACGCTTTAGCTTCTACATAACACGGACATCTCTGTCCACAACAAGTTAATTTTCCGGGCGTAGGAGTTGCATTGCCACACCGACATCCTTTACGCTTTGGTTTTGGTTTAGGCTTGGGTTTTGGCTTTTTTATCAAATCTTGATTTGCAGAAGGAACAGTTTCTGGCTCATTAGGAACACTTTTGTTGGTATTTTCTATATCAGGAGGTTTTCTTTTGATGGTTATTTTTGTACTATCGCCATCAGCATACATTACAGAATACATGGAGGACCCATTGTTTACCGAGGAATTATGTTTAGGGTAAGGTACTTCCTTAACAACGCTGTGCTTAACTAAATTTGTACTTGGAAATATTGTACCTGGTACAAAACTTGATCCAGATGATCCACTGATGGTTGTTGTTGTGGTAGTTGTCGTTGCAGAGACTGTTTGTGGTGGAAAGTGGTGGGATGTTTGCATAACAGGTAGTGTGGTTGGCATGACTGCTTTCACTGAGTTTAATGCAGAAGTTGGCGGACACGAAACTGGTGGCACTGCAGAATTTACAGGTTGCGAGGAAACATGTACCAAACCTAAATTTATTGTTGAAGGTGTTGATTGTTGTGATGGAGAGGCTTGTGTTGAAAGTGGCCATAATGGTTGCTTCGGAACAGAATGGGAGGTATTTATGGGTGTGACGGCTACACTTGCTCCACTTGTTTGAGGTACTGAAAGTTTTTCTTTATTATCACTTTCATGTTCACACTGCACACTGTTTGTCTCATCACATCTATTATTAGAATTATCTATAGCTTCTTCTATCATGTCAGTAAGACTGAATTGGCCCCCATTACTGTATATGGAGCACAGTTTACAATATATTGGTGTGAACTTGATATATTCACATAGTTTTCTGTAGCACTGCAACACAAGTTTAATTTGAACATTGTCAAAATACATACTGTAATCTTTGCACCAGCTACAAGTGGGTTTCAGTCGTTTCTTTCCACCAAGACACTTTCTACACACATGATGTTGACAGCTTGTTTCATTAGGGGTGTATGGCTCAGAAAGTAATTTACCACAAACCGTACAGGAGAGGGACTGGCGGAGGTAAGGCAACAACTTGTACAGCTCTGTCCAACTATCACGGTTTTCTGGATCGGCCTGCATGACCAGCCGACAAGTGGTCACATACAGATTAGTGGCGTTCATGTTTTATCCACCATCGGTTCTACCATCATCAATTAATTACACCAGTTCCAATTCAAATCCAAATTCGAAGCATCTCTATTGGGTCTCATCCTTGTAAACAAAACAAAGGTAAATACTAACCCTTATAGGTGGGGCAAAAAGGATGTTAAACAAAAGAATGTCTGTAGGTGATAATAAGGAGCCTCAGAGTGTGGTGGTGAGGGAGGCAGGAGGTGCGGGATCCTCCTCACCCTCACCACCACAATAGATGTTTAGTTGGAGTAAATATTACGTCAGTTATAGCGGGTCAGCATCAGTAACATACAGTGGTGGTGGTTGATCACTCCTACATTATGTCTCTCTACTATATCTCTTGTTCGTGCTAATGACAAAACGTAATGGAGGCGTAGTTGTCATCCTGAGTGTTAGCTGGTGTAAAATGTTTGATTTAATGTTTGTATCGTCTACCTAGAGAATTAAGAGGACACCACTGTTGTAGTACAGGGTAGTTGAATCAGCTTCAATTATCCTGAGGTGTATCAACATATTAAGTAATGCTTCCAGGTGGCACACAGTTAATGTAGAGTCTTACTTGTACATTGCAATCTATACTTATATTGTACACTATATGTATTATATAATTCCGAAACTTGGGTAAATTATCTGTTACACGAGACTGAATTAGGCGTGTGTCAAGACCAGTGTGAGAATAACAATGTTCATAAATGGTTAACACTGAGGCCTGTTACTAACATGTATTATGTAATCTTACAAATATCATAAGGTTAACTTTATATATATATATATATATATATATATATATATATATATATATATATATATATATATATATATATATATATATACAGTATATATATGCAATAAATCACTTTTTGTATGTATGTATGATCCATGTATACTGTATGCTGATAACCGCATAGGAATAAATAAAACATGAAGTTCCCAAGCGCTTTCGTGTAATTCACATCAGGGGTGAGTACAGTCTGTACCCACCCCTGAAGATGTGAGTTACACGAAAGCACATGGGAAGTCAGAAGGCATCTTGAATAAAGACGAAAGCTAAGGTGCTCCAGTGTCTCCCCTTTCCTGTGAGGTTTTATCGAGATTTATCTAGTCCATATTTCCATTGTGGATCTACATGATATATATATATATATATATATATATATATATATATATATATATATATATATATATATATATATATATACATACAGTATATATCCAAGTTTATTTTTCAATCATTAATTACTATCAACAAAATCGATGTCCAATTTTTTTTTCTATACCCCATATTTTTTTTTTTTAATTTATGACTATAGCATAGCTTTTTTCTGAACAATTGTAAGGAACTGAGAAACTCAAGGACTGCAGTATGATATTTTATATATTGCACATTTATAAGGATTTCTTACACTGATATCACTGTTATCTTTAATAATTACAGATGAGCTTCAACCATAATTGGTATGTCCTTGATGACCCACACTCATTATGGAGATGTTGCTGGCCAGATGGAGGATGGTGAACTATATGTAGGTATAAGTTTGCAAATACTGATCACATAAGAGGCAACTAATGTTCTCTTATGTAATGGCACATGATACGCATTGAAATATAGTTTCTTCATTGGGATTAAGTGTTTCAAGCTTGTTTGAGAAAGCACTGGCAGGGAAGTATGGTTTCACAAACCTCTAAAGATGGTGGGCCATACTGTATAATATTTAATTGTGGATGATCATATCCAGCTTATTACTTCTTCCTTCCTACCTCCACTCCTTATCTTCCAGCAGCACCCACCTTATTGCTGATGATGCTTCACTAAGCTACACAAAAGTTTATCCTATTGTTTTATTGCTAAGGCCAAAATAAAATGTACTGTATATTGTATACCTCTCATTCTGGTTTATTGACTGTGTTTATGGCCAGCCCTATAAATTTAGGGAATCTGTAAATTTATCTCATATTCTGTACTGAAATAAAAGAAAATATGCATCAAACTTTTAAGAGAACAAGGAGTGGAAAGATCCCTGCATCTAATGACATTACATGAAGCTTTATAAGAGGAACATGACTACCTCTGTTCTTGCCATGCTCTTTAACAAGTGTACATACAAAAAGAAAATAAATATTCTAGCATATGTAGACCATTACAGATCTTTTATATAAGTTTTTAAAGAATATGATCTTAATGTTTCAACAGCTGTCAAAATTTTTAGAGTATGTAAAGAACTACAGGTATATTTTATTTTGGCCTAATGCTCAGTCAGGTCTCCTAGTACAGTACTATATCACCTAGATACTATAATTCCCTTGATTGTAATGTAGTGGTAATTATATTCTGTGTTACCATGGCATATTGTACAGTTCCCAGTATCTAATTTCAGCAATTATTTACAGATTTCATCGATGAGAAATTCTAATTGATAAGTCACTTTTTATGTAATCTGAAAAAGAGAAGCACCTAACATTGAACAAAAATGGCTGGAATTGATTCACAACATATAAAAGACTTGATTGCAAAAGGAAATAGATTTGAAGCTATGAACATATTTATTCAAAGTAAGTTTGGAAAGCCAGATAACCCAGAGACCGGTATTAAAATTAAACGAGAAGTTGGTGAACCCATCCTCAAATCAAAGAAAAGCAAAGGTGGTGACAAAGCAAGTCAAAGTAAGGACAACAGTGAGAGTGAGACTGATGGCAGTGGTAGTGATAGTGACAGCTGTGGAAGTAGCCATGCCAGTTCATCAGCACCTCGCAGTGAAGCTTTGGTGCCAGAAGTAGAATTGAAGGAGGATGAGAATTTGGATGTTGACATAGAAACTGTTGATCCCCTCAGTGAAGCCCTGTTACCAAGACCTCACTTGTTGGACCAGCCTGGCCCTGCACACATGGGACATCCACAACAAAATATGCAAGGTACAGCAGATTAGTCACTATTGTTGGGTAGAATTTTGCAACAAATACTTACCCTTCCCATATAAGATCATATGTACAGTAGTATCCATATTCCAAGCTACCTGCTGTAATGAGTTAAATGAAGATAGTGGGGGTAACGAGTACAGTATTGTTGTCAGGTGTGTTTTGGAGTAATGCCTAAAACTAATTGGGAACCACTCATTTAAGCTGTACTGTATTATCTTCAGTCACCTTTATTTTATTATATCATTTCATTAACAAAACACTGTTTCTGTTGTACTATTTGTTCAGTCTTCTTTTTTGTTTTCAGCCATAAGCCATGTAATTTTCTTAACACTTCATAGCTGTTAACTGTTATTCCAATAAGCCTCTGATTTGTTGAATCATTTTTTTATTTACCTATCATCCTCCCCTCCCCACCCCATCAGACCATTTGATTCAGGTTTGTCTGAGGATTATTTTGTTAGCATCATATCTGTTTATTCAGTCATTGCTTTTTATATTTGTATAGTCATTTGGAGACTTTATGCACTTGTTCCATATCTCAGATGATGTAAGGTTCATTGTAAGGTAAAATGAGACTGTTTAAACTTACTGTAGGTTATGGCCACATGGGAGGAATGCCTCACTATGGAGGCCCACCAGGAGGTCCATATGGCCCGTATTGTGTCCAGGTCCCACAGTACGGGCCAAGAGGGGATGGGACACATACTAGTCCTGTCTGGCTGGACCCAAACTCACAGCAGCACCATCAGCAGCAGTTACAGCATCAACAACTACAGCACCACCAACAACATCATCATCAGCAGCATCAACAACAACAACATCAGCAACAACATCAGCACCAGGAGGAAGAGAGAGATGATGATTATGTAAGTTTAATATTGTATGAATTTTTTTTTTTTATCATAGGCTTCTCTTGACATGTTGTGTTACATGTGGATCTTGATAAAATCATTGCAACAACTTCTCACATAACTGCAAATTGAAAATGTTAGCATTATAGAGGTTTATATTAAAATGCTTGGAAAGAAATGTATACTGTACTCAGCTGTATATATTGTCATGCACACACACCCTTGCTTTGTTCATGTACACTCGCTCAAAAAATTATCTACTATTTTGTGTGAGACAGTATGACACAACGGACAAGCAATTTTGACAACCCTACTGAGACAACGGCGGTGTTCATTTTGAAATTCAGCGGACCCCTCCATAAAGATACTTTTTGGAGCAGGTGTACATCCCCTAACTCTTACATACCTCCCTTAACCTCCTTCTAGAAGTAGATTACCCTTTATAAGAACCTTTAGGTAGTAACAATAGGTACAGTATGTGTGATCACAAAGCAAGGAGTTGAGTGATCTTTTGGGGATGGATTATCCTCCTGATGGGCGGTGATGATTGTGTGAAGCAACAAATAAGGCAGAAGGCAATTATTTGGGGCTGTGTTGTGGGAGGGAATACCATAAAACAACACAGTAGAGCAAGTAGAGAGAGTGAGAGATAGTGAATGGAGGGAAATTCTGGGGTGCTCTTAATTTTGGTTAATCTGTGCTATGGCAGGAGAAGGCTCACTGGAGTTTGGTAAAATATGTCTTAAAATTTAAATAACTATTTTCTATGTAAAGGTATGTAATACCTCTGCTAAATCTTGCCAAAACTCGGTGACAGATGTTTACTTGTGTTTATTTAGAGACAAAACCTCAAATGTAATTACTGTATATAATATTTGATGAGCTGCCTTTGTTTAACAAGATTGAATTGGTAAAATGTAAAGGTACTGATTACATCCTCAGTAGTTGAGTTAAACCCTTAATACAAATGTTATGTGCTTTCTACCCAATTTAGAAAAAACAAACATTTGTAAAACAAAAAACAAAAATGAAATTCTTCATGGCAGCAGGTGAAAAGAAATCAAGCTATTGGTGTACGTTGGCTTCTGATAAATATTGAATCCTATTTAGACATCTGCATATGAACTGAAAAGAAATAGAATTGTTAGGTACATTATAAAATAAATAAACTTAGTCTCCCCAACCTCAAAGCCTGTGTTTGGTTGAAGTATTTTTCCACTATGCCTTTTCTATCTTTTATTATTTCCTGATATCTGCTCTACTGTATATCTTCTACATGCTTGTAAATACCTTAATACTGTACAAGTGAATGGTAAGAACTTCATCTGTATGAAAATCTACTTCAATTTACAAAATTCAATACTGTCTGTTTCCAGCATTACAGGATTAATGTTTGCTCCTCTGCTTTCTTTTAATTGTGACAAATTATATGTTTGATATACAGTATACATAGATATTTATACAGTATACCAGTTACATACTTTAAGTAATAATGTTGAATTAAATTTGAATTACATGTAGTATTTTTTCTTCTTCAGATACCAAGAATCCAGAGAGAGAAAGAACCAGTACCTGGTGACTTGCACAAAAAAACTCATCAGAAATTCTTTAGAGATCAAGGCCGTCCATATATATCCCGCGCCACAGGCAAGGAGATCCGTGGGAGAGCAATGGGTCCCCCATGTAATTGCAAAAAGAGATGTTGGTCCAAGATTGAACTTGGAGCAGATGAAATTTTCTCAGCTTTCTGGGATATGGGTAATTTTGATGAGCAGAATGTGTACCTGTATGGAAATATCTCTATAAAACCAGTGAGCCGCCATTATGTTAAGGGATCAAACAGACGAACTTATACGTTTACTTATTGGTGTAAAGTCCGTGGTAAACATGTGGAAGTGTGTAAAGAAATGTTTATGGGTGTTCATGGCCTTCAGAATAGCAGAGGTAGAATAGGAAATCTCATGAAGCAAATGAAAGATGGTAACTTACTACCTAAACCTGATCAGCGTGGAAAACATTCCAACAGGCCAAACAAGTACACTGAACAATCCCTCCAAGCAGCTCGAAGACACATTGAAATGTACATCAATCGAAATATGACACTGAAGAAGATGTACAGAGACTTTTATATGCCATGGTGTGATGAGAATAAGATTGGTGCCGTTAGTGAAGATAAATACAGGAGAATTTATTCCGAGGAATATAAAGTTTCTTAATACTTAATAGTAATAGTAAATTAGCGGAATAAGCAGGTACAACACATTCATCCTTCATTCATCATTCATAAAGATTACAAATCAAGTGGAACTTGACATGTAAATATAACTTTTCTCCATTTTTAAAGCAGGTACAGTATATAAAAAAAATTATATTGTTTTTGTTTAAGTTTTCATAATTAAAAGTTAGTCTCTCCTATCCAACATCTTTTCTGTTGGCAGACCAACTTTCCACAGGGAATGTTATTATCTCTGTCTAATCAAGGTGCAGTTTTGTAAAACAAAATTCCATACATAAGCAAGAAGATTGTGATGCTCCTTTATTGTTATAGTGCACTTATGGCTGTGTCGTTGTTTGAGTATTAGAGTAACCATCTGTATATCTGCTACTTGATCAAGCCTCCTGGTGGATATCTCATTGGATCACATCTAACATTCCAAGATAAAGAAGTTTTATAGTGTTTAAATAAAACCTAATGAATTGTATCTGATATCCATAAAATGGAACATAAAAGTGCAGGTTTTTCTTGAATACTTTTATTCAAAATTATGGGACGATCTTACTAAGTTTGATAGTTATTGTAATTTTAATTTACTAAATTTTTTATGTGGAACCCCCAATAATTTTGAGTAATGAGACCAAACTAAACAGTACTGTAACTTTGGAACAAATTATAGGAATTTGAGAGAACTGATATTTGGTTAAATTATATATTATATTTTTACAAATTACATGGAAATGTTATGTAAGAGTGAACATTCATTGACCTCTTATTGGAAGACAAGTTTGTAAGCTGTTGATCTAAAGTTTGTTTCAACAAGGTAGCAAACCCCACACCTTCATTAGTGTGTGGTGGCAGGACTGGTGAACATTGTGCCAGCAACATAGGCCATAAGTCCTGCCAACACTTGAGACAAATCATAAAAAGTACCTCCCCCCCCCATCATGGATGATCCAACACATGTGTATAGGTAAGTTACTGGCATATATATATATATATATATATATATATATATATATATATATATATATATATATATATATATATATATATATATTAATGGATCATAAATAAATACACAAAAAAAAAGATCAAGAGTGAGAAACAATACATGTACAGGTAGTTCTGCTATAACGCGATAATTGTGTTCTTGTAAAATATCGTGTTATAGAAAATCGCGTAATAGAAATAACAGGGCTTATGGAGAAAATAGGGTTAGGTGCAGATTACTCGAAATCAAAAAAATTTAGTAGTTAGCCTAACACAAAGGATAGCACAGTCTAAATAAATGTTACATTCATATCTAATAATGAAATCATACAGTAAATGTAACACTTTACCTTGAAAAAATATGAATGTAACTTGATGGGGGAGAAGGGTGATTTTGAGGCTGATAACATTGAGCTTCTCTTCAAGTGTTATATCCTTTCTTTTACGATCATCACCGGGAATTCTATCACCAGAACGTTTCTTGGAGATATTCTTCTTTACCATATTCACAATTAATACCACAAAATTGGAGAAATAGTAAGCAAAAATCGCGTTATAGCAAACAAGCGTTCGCGTTATACAAATATCGTTCCTAATTCATAAATCGCGTTAGAGCAAATTCGCGTTATCAAAACACGCGTTATAGCAGAACTCGCTGTATGTTGTGTTGTCAAAGTAAGAGAGACAATTGAGACCCTGCAAATGTGTGTAAATGAGGCAGAAAGCCAGATCAGCAACCTGGGACTTGGTCACAATTTTTGTGAACCCATATGGCAGCAGGGTCTACTGTTAGACATTTGGATGAAATTACAGTACCAGGAAAATGAAGATAAAAGGGGTACATATTAAACATTACTGTATAGTGTAATGCATGAATACTTTCCTTATAATAAATATTCAGCATTATACAGTACTGTATAAGCAGGACAGTCCAAACTGAATGCTGTATTTATTTAAAACTGATAAGACTTAAGTTATACAGAATATTGGTAGAAATAAATTTTTAGAGGATAAGGTGAACTGAACCTGACAGTGGGGTAAGACTACTACAGGTAAGTGTAAGAAAGTTTTATGGTAAGTTTGTTCAGGGAAGTACTGAACAGCATGTAAAAGAAAAATATCTGCCATTTTTCTTATTACGACAGTGCTACAGTTCTTATTGTTGTGGAGGATTTTTTTCTATGAAACAAAAAAATATTAATCTATTTAATGGTTTAAAATTTCGATGTGACTACAACAACTCTTAATCTTTTTTCTGAGCACTCATTGGTTGTCTCTCAGCCAATCACTGCCCACCTCCATCAGTTTTGAATAGTTCCCAGACATGTCTTTACTTCATCATGGCACTAACTTTTTAAACAAAAATGCCTGCAAGTGATAGTGTTTGTAGTGAGGCCAAGCAATCAAGGAAAAGCATCAGTGTGTTTATAAAAATAAAGATCATAAGATGTTTGGAGGCAAGTGAACATCAGTTTGATAATGGACACAAACCTGTTCAAGGATCATTTTACTGAATAAGGAAAGTCAGTCGTGTTTGAAGCGACAACAGACGGTGTTCAATCTCCACAAGCTCTGACTGACGCATGGGTGAGTAGGTACTACTGTAATTACTTTTGGGGCTTATTAAAATTTGGACTTCCAAATTTTTTAAACTTGCATTGAAGATACAGTTTTTTGTGCCGATTTTAAATGTGACTCATGTTTTGCGGAAATGTTTTATTTGTGACTTACACGTCTTTGAATCAGAAGTGTTGGCCAATCATGCTTAACATAAGCTTGCACAAATTTTGCCCTTTGTGACGCTGGCACCACATAAACTTGTATTAGTCTCTGTCAATTAATATTATATAAATATGGGCTCCAGGTAAGGGCACTTGACCGAGTAGTGCCTTTTGAGATGTTTGTACGTCTCAATTAGGTCACCCCTTGCTCGCCTGTAGTATAAGCTAGGCAATTTCAGGCGCTCTAATCTCTCAGGGTAGCTGAGGTGTCGAAGTACAGGCACCAGTCTGGTGGCCCTCCTTTGAACATTTTCAATCACCTGACAGTCCCTAACATATCTCAGGGACCAGACGAGGAGACAGTCCTCCAGATGGGGAAGCACCTCACTCTTGAATGATCGTTACGAGGGATGGACCGTATACATATCTAAACGACCTTCCTAAAGACCCAATAATTTAGTTGCCAGATTCACCTTCTTGCAATGGCCCGAGAACGACAGCTCATTGTCAACATACACACCTAGGTCCTTTTCACATTCATTTTCAATTAATGCAGTTTCTTCATACCGTTGGGACATATGATACGCCTCCCTACCATTGGTACATCTCAGGTGCATCCTCTTACACTGTGACATTAACTCTTAGCAGCCACTTCTTGAACCATTCTTGAAGCTCACGGAGACCCTTCTGCAGCTCTTCACAGTGCTTGGTTCTTAATTTCCTGAAATAACTTAACGTCATCGGCAAACATCTGTATGGAGGAATGTACAGTGTCAGGCATGTCATTTATAAAGCAAACGAACAACAACGGGACCAATACATTGCCCTGTGGTACCCCGATTGTTATGGGTAAACATGATTTTGTGCCATGAATCACCACACACTGGATGAAACTGTCAAAACAAGTGTGTAGGAGAGGCAAGTTTACCCACATTAAAAAAAAAATACAGGAGGTTTTGAGTGGCATCCATAAGTAACAATAAATATTTTTAAATTAACTATGAAGAAAAGTCTATATTTGTTATATTGTGCGAGATATAAAAATTTGGTACCATAATGATCCTGAATAAATTCTCTACAAGTCGCTTTCAATAAAAGATCCTTGAACAAAATATTTTGACAATGCAGAATATACAGTAATGATGGTACTTATTCTTTTATGAAAAAAATTAAGAAAAGTTGATACTGTTGTCTGTAAAAGCAGTTCTAATTAGTTAGAAACACCTTTTTCTACTAAAATAATCCTGAATAGTTTATCTGAAAGTGTGATTAAATAAATATATTTAAAAAACTAAAAATCTATATGATACATGCATGAAAGGTACCTTGTGAATAAAGCTGTGTCACGGTGAAGACTAATTTTCCACTTGCACAGAGCTGCATTAATTTACACAAATTGTAGGTGGACTGGAAGATTACCCGGTAGTGGGACTTATGTCCTGAATTAGTCGCGAGTAAAGATGAAAGCTAGCTCAAGGCTGCTAGAAAATATATTGATGGCCAGCAAAATAAGTGTAGAAACTTCTAATCACAACATCTGCTCTAATTGTGTTAGAGAAATGAATTTGGTACCATTGCATATATGGAGATGCTATTTTTTTACCTATGAGATATACGGTTTACAGTATTGTATATGGAGGGTACAGATATATTAAACACAGATTATTACAGTAATATATCTTTACTAATTAATGAATAACAAATAATGAATTTACTGTACAATACTGCATCATGAATGACAGTCATAGTAAAATGAGAGAGGGGCAGTGAGAGGGAGGGAAGACAGGCAACCCTTGGGAGAGAAAGTGACCACCACTCATCACATCAACACCTCTTATACCCTATTAAAATAGTGTATAAACTTTAATCACGGCATCTGTTCTAATTGTGTTGAGAGATGAATTTGATACCATAATGAATCTTCATAAATTCTCTACAAAACTTTTCCAATAAAAGATCATTAACACTCTTGGGTTTTTCAAACAAATTATCGCAGTTAGGGTTTTCATATGCAAATTTGTGTACGAAGTAAAAAATTTAAAAATAATTTTATGTTTGCGTATGAACGCTAGATGCACACTTGTCAGCGTGATATATATATATATATATATATATATATATATATATATATATATATATATATATATATATATATATATATATATATATATATATATATATATATATATATATATATATATATATATATATACACAGTATTACCCCGCCTAACGCGGTTTCACTTAACGCGTTTTATCATATACGCGGTGCCTCGCCAGAGCTGAACTTTCACTTAACACGGATTTTTTCCACATATACGCTGTGAGTGTCCGGCTCTAGACGCTATTTTTAGATTTGCCCCACCCGCCACCCTGCCTGTTTTAGCTCATAAAATTCATACAAATTACCCGGGTAGAATATAATTTACATTGCTGGAATTCTTATAATTTGGTGATCATTTTGAATATAAACATCATATATTTTGCATTAGACATACAAATTTTAGATAAAAATTTTTCTCAGAGTAACTATGTTATCTTTTGTGCAAAATATATGACATTTATATTCAAAATATTCCTGGTCTTACAAGGAATCCAGCAATGTCAATTATATTATCCTAACTTTAGTTTGAGGTATTATTTATTAAAATTTAGTGGTTATCCCACACATCTCCTTGGGACGGTTGGTGGGGGGTGGGGGGGAGGGAGGGACCGACCGACCATCTGTTACCCTGTGAAGAATTATTTTTTTTTTTATTAACTGAAGATATTTGTTTTAGCTCATAAAATTCATACAAATTACCCGGTCTGAATATAATTTACATTGCTGGAATTCTTATAATTTGATGATCATTTTGAATATAAACATCATATTTTTGCATTAGACATACAAATTTTAGATAAAAATTTTTCTCAAATTAACTATGTTATCTTTTGTGCAAAATATATGACATTTATATTCAAAATATTCCTGGTCTTACAAGGAATCCAGCAATGTCAATTATATTATCCTAACTTTAATCTGAGGTATTATTTAATACTAAATGTTAAAAACCCTGGAAGGGAGGATTGGTGGGGGGTGGGGGGGAGGGTTGGGACTGACCGCGCGGTTGGAAGAGGGGGGGAGGCAAGGTGGGGTACTTTGATTGACAGATAGTGTCGTGAAGATTATTTTTTTTTTTATTAACTGAAGATATTTGTTTTAGCTCATAAAATTCATACAAATTACCCGGTCAGAATATAATTTACATTGCTGGAATTCTTATAATTTGGTGATCATTTTGAATATAAACATCATATATTTTGCATTAAACATACAAATTTTAGATAAAAAATTTTCTCTAGGTAACTATGTTATCTTTTGTGCAAAATATATGACATTTATATTCAAAATATTCCTGGTCTTACAAGGAATCCAGCAATGTCAATTGTATTATCCTAACTTTAGTTTGAGGCATTATTTATTAAAATTTAGTGGTTTTCCCCCAAAAATTTCTCTGAGAGGGAAGAGCCAGCAGTGTAGTGTGAGAGGGGGAGGGAGTCGAGTCCATTATTTGAATGGACATTAACTTGGCGACTGTATTTCTCTAAAGTATTAATTGTGTGCATGTACCATCATAAAATTAAAATGTTATTTTTACTACAACATAGGTATGTGCCTTCAAAAAGTGGAGTTTGGGGGTCGGGCCGGTTTCTATTGGAATTAATCCCATATGTTCTGTTGTTCACTTAACGCGAATTTCACTTAACGCGGGACCCTCTGGGTTCAATTGACCGCGTTAAGTGGGGTACAACTGTATATATATATATATATATATATATATATATATATATATATATATATATATATATATATATATATATATATATATATATATATATATATATATATATATATATATATATATATATATATATATATATATATATATATATATATATATATATATATATATACATACACACACACACAGTGGTCCCTCGGTTAACGATTTACCTTCCATTAGATTCTTAAATTCGGTTAACGAGCAATCCCTCGATTAACGAGTTTTTTACGAGCCGACTTCAACATGTTTTCGCTTGCATTTGGCGGTCCACCAGCTGTAGTATTAGTCCGCCAATACAGTAATCGGTTTTAGGGCTTAAATTCCTTACTATTTTAGTAAATATCAAGTTTATACTATTCAATAATTTTAAAAGTTTTTTCTTTACCTTTTTAGTCATTTTAACAATTATTGAACATAATTGAAGGAAAAGAAACTAGTTTCTGGCATGCCATCCAGCCTGTTGACACACCAGACAGGCGTTAGTCTCTCTCTGTTTTCAGTGGAGGTAACATCTTGCTTGAGACTCTCTTCAACTAAATGCTTTTTTTTCTGTGTTTCCAAGCAAATTATTGGTCATTTTGAAATATATTTTACATATTGACAATATATAATGCAGTGCAGTGTTGATTTAAAGAAAATAATCTTGAATTATACCAAGAGAGCTAAAATATTATGGGTGAAATGGCACCATGGGGTGACTTCTCTTCCACCCCAATACCTTCTCTTCTTCCTTCTCCTCCACCCCCATTCTAATTCCCATCATCATCATTATCATCATCATCCAGGAGCCTTCTACATACACACCTCAAAGTAAGTGTACTTTTCTACCTTTTTTGTTGAATTTAGACAATTTTCGGTGAGCTGGAACCAATTACCCAAAAACCCATTGAAACAATGGTTTCGGTTAACAAGTTTTCGGTTAACGAGCAACCTGCTGGAACGGATTGTGCTCGTTAACCGAGGGACCACTGTATATAATATAAGAAATGTTGATAGCGGAGTAAATAAAATCAGTTGTACTCAAGTTAGAAACACCATGTTTTACCGAAATAATCCTGAATAGTTTATCTAAAAGTCTGGTTAAATAAATATACAGTACGTATTGAAAAAACAAAAAATGTATATGATATGGGCATGTGAGCTGTAAATGGAGCTGTCACAAACAGCACAAAGACAGTGGAATTTTCCACTCTTCACTGGGGAAAAATTCCCCGAGTCTAAACGCTGCATCTCACATCGAGCTGTTTATTTACGTAAACACCACTGCACAGGTGCTGAGCCCACAGTAGGCAGACACTCCACTCGGCTGAATGTAATTTGTAACTATCAGGTCTTAACACTTGCAATGGAGGTGGGGTGAGGGATTAGTAGGTCCTGATGCAATATCAGGGTGGGGTACTAGTGGGTCTTATGACCTGAAAATGTCTTGAATAAAGACCAAAAGCGAAGGTGCTCCAGTGTTTCCCACATACTGAATGTACAGTACAGCATATGTACCTAATCACGTTTTACTTTAACACTATTCTTGGCTGATTGTGTCCTGGTACATTATTGTACAACACAAATTGTATGCAAAAATAGCAGCAAGTGAAGGAACAACCTTCTACAATGGCAGCAGAATATGAACTAAGCGATCCAAGCAGCTCGGCCACCCACATGCCTAGAACGTGTTGGAGCATGTTGCAATCTCTCAGAATTCCCGGATAATTTATTCCCAGGCCCAGAATGGACATGTTTGGAAATTTTCTGTAAACCTTCTCGGAATTTTTTCTGGAAAATGCACCTGACTTTCATCCTTGAAAACTCGTTTACAAACCCGGAATGGAGAGATTTTTCCAGCATGATTTCAATTTCGGCAATTGAGAGATCGGGGATTCCGGCTAACATAGAGATTACTGTACAGTATTATTATATGGTAAGGTTTGACAGAAATATGTGTAGCACTTTTACATTATCAATGGTTTTAGCCTTGAGCAGTGTTGAACCGTTGATATGTTTTTAAGTAACATTGCAAAGAAAACTGAAATTGGAAGAGGTATTGACTGATTCCAGTTGCATTTAAAAATACATTTCAATCACTAAAGGATGAATTTATATGAAATGAACAAAAAGAAAACTTATGAACATTTTGTACAAGTTAAAAAAAGGTTAAAAAGAGTAAAGACCTAACATTTGTAATGTAGCCCAAATGCCTACATCATCATCAATGTTTTACAGCCATTTTCCATGTTTGTGAAGGTTAGCCATAATAACCTGATGGCAGCTGTTGGTCAAACCACCACAAACCCAGGGAGTAGGCCCAGAAAATGCAGCAGAGATCAGGGAATGGGCACAGCTCTGGTGACCTTATTGCCATCAGACATGTTAAAGCGTAATTTTATGGCTAAATACCCTTCCAAACACCAACCCACATGGTTGGAACAGCAGGCAAAGCAGGGTAGCAATGCTCCCTGTTAATAAAAACACATGCCAAAAATCTAGTGACATTATTGAATGAAATATATTGCAATTTTTCTAAAAAAATTATATAATTTTGGAGGTAATTAAAATTATGAATGGAAGAAACTCTTGAAACCCAGAATTATTTCATGAGGTAATCAAAGTAACAAGTTAAGCTGCTAGACAATTCCACTGGCACAAGCAGATACACTTATATTATGTAATCAATTTTAGGAATACGTATTAACATTCTGTAAAAAAACTAAAAACAATTACTGTAAGTACAGTATTTATAAATACAGCTCCTCCCAGACTTACAACCTACTCAACTTACGTCCACCCGCACTTACGACCTGCCTCAGTCGTACCAAAATTTGGTCAAATTACGTATTTTCGAGTCCCAAAGTCAGTACACAGACAAAATTTTCATCTGTAATTCACTTTAAAATGGCTGGCAAACTTAAAAGTGAGTGTTTTGTGGTGCTGAGAAGAAAAAGAGACCCCCATTTTCGATTTTCTATGTGTTATTTAAGCATTTCCGACTTACGACCTGGATGTCGGTCCCTAACCCTGTCGGAAGTCGGGGAGCAGCTATAATGATAAAAAAACCATAATGCTGTACAGTAACTGAAATATAGCAGAAGACAGGATAGTGGTGAAAATTTATTGCACCTGCACATGTACCGAAATACCCATTGACTTTCTCAATTATAAAAACACCATAAATCATAAAAGCTAACAGCTAGTTTCTCAGAGTGAAAATTCTGTTCTGCATTTGTCAGCAATCATCTTAGCAATAGAAAGTGAAGATGTGGCACCCGGGGATGGAGCATTACGACAATGGAGAATACGGGAACCTAATGCCGATCCAGACTCCCTGTGGAAAACAAAGTCATCTTCTAGCGATCCATCAACATTCATGGCCTGGGCTCGTACACCAGCTGGACCACGGGATATGTCAGATGCTGAGATGTCTGGGATATATTTACGTAGTGTTGCCACCTGAGGATATTAAACTTGTGAATCACATACAATAATAAGCATTGTAAGCCTTATTGTAATCTAAATATACCAGTAAACTGCTGAAAAAATAGAGTACCGTACACTGTATGTTTGATACATTCCTCATTATTTTAACATATACCTTTAAAACAAAGCAAGAGGAGAGTGTGGCATGTGGAATCACATCCCCAAAAAAGTAAAAACTAGACTACACTGTCCAGCTATTCTGCCCTAAATGTCAAATTGTCAAGCTACTCACTTGCCATGACTCCCCTTCCCCTTATATTTTAATGCTACACACACACCACTACCTCTGGCACACATTCCCCCTACCACACATGGGTACACACAAAATTACATCGTACAAGATCGTACCACAGTATGAACATAAAATACCAGGCATGTACAACATTCAATATTTTGTGTTCAAACATAATTATGAAAAATATGCTCTATGGTAAATCATAGTGATAAAAAAAAAATTATTCAATGATTTTAAAAGAATTAAGGGTTGATTGTCACTTAAATTTTAAACATGACGTACCTGAAGTCTTGGGAATGCTGAAAATAACACTTCTTTGAACCCAAACGCAAGGTACTGCAGTGCTAACTTTTGAAATCCTCGGTATGTAACAGATTCCCATAGTTCCTTCGTGTCAATATCAAGCCATCTGCAATGATTGTCATATATTTACATTCATTATATTACTTTTAATTTTTTTAAATAAAATGTTTTCCTTTAACAACAATGCACCTATGGTATACATCTGGTTTAGCTGTCACTTAACACATCAACCCTGCATCATGGTTATACTGTACCTGTTACCGCAAGCAGTAATGAGTAGGATGACACATAAACAACATTATGTTAGGCTGTAAGTCATGTCATGTTTATTGGGTGTGCCTGCCCATATACAGTATAAAGAGTGTTGAGATGGTTGAAGATGAGAGACCCAGAGGAGGTGAGGTGTTAGGTGGTAGTAAGGGAGCTTGTTTGTGTATAATCATCTGACTCAGCCCTCACCCATCCAGAGAGGGTTGGGGAGGCGACAGCAGGGTATCAGCACTGGAGCTATTCAGACCAGAGAGGCAACACCTAACCTGGTTTCTCTTGAGACTTTCAACTCGTAAGTTTAACTGGAACTCATTGTGTACACAGGTAGACTGTGTCCATTGCATCGTTTATCATTGTGACAACATAAAATATGGCAAATTAAGTACTCATTGTAAGTGTTAAGATTAGACTAATTATATAGCTATGATTGTCATGTATGATTTTGTTTAAATACTAAAATGAATTGTATTCAACAGGTTTGACCGAATTATAACGTTCGAGTTTAACGTGACAAGTCTGATTATCCTTTAACAGCCTGACTGGCGGTTATAGTACCCATAATCACAATGTTAAAGGATTACTCACCGATATCCCTCTCGTTTGAGAGCAAAAATTGCATTGGGGCCCAACCATATGTCACCATTCATCCTTGGGGTGAAATGCACACCCAAAAATGGGAAGCGAGGATCTGGTACCTGAAAGATAATGCTCAACTTACAATACTGTACTGTAAGATCACAGCATTTATGAAGTTACAAAGGTGTGTATGTCCGATGTGAACAGATCACATATTAACATACCACAAAAATCACGCCTAACACTCACTGGGTATATATTCCCTCGCACCATGTGGGCTTTATCTTTCTTCAGAAGGAGGTACTCTCCTCGGAAAGGCACAATCCTGGGATCCTCGGAGCATCCAGAAAGCTTCGCTAACTTGTCTGACTGCAAGCCACCACAAGTCAACACATATTTGCAACGCACAGCCTGGAAGAAAACATGCATTGATGAATTACACCAAAATTGGCACAATCTCAATTCCAGTAAAATTTCTCCTGCTAGAACCACTCTGCCTTTTCCTTCTTTTTAAAGTTTACAGAGACAATCTACTTTCCTCTACAGTCTTATTTCTTGGTTCAAGTAGTGACTGCTTTACAAAAACTGATGACCAATCCAACATGCAAAAGTTTTCAAAAAATGTCAAGTTTATGTGTATACATCATTTAGCATAGACATATTACTGATTGTAAACATCACAAAGATAGTATCTGTTAATGCATAATATAAGTTAAATCATAAAAACATACCTGTATTTTGACGATACTTAAGCTTTTACCACTAATGACCTGGACAGGATACTCACCCTTCCATTACTGATGACTTTGACGGGATACTCTGCAGCTGTTGTCCCAGTTTTACTGTCTTCTGTGAGCTGGAAGTCTGTAACCTTAAAGTCAAGATAAATACTACCACCACAATCACGGAAGTTTTTTCCATAGTGTTCTGTCACTAATCCCCAGTCAACAATGCCAGTATGAGGGGACCAGATTGCCTTTACACCCTGGAAAAGGGGGAGGGAAATGGACCATGAATTTCAAGTAAAGAAACATAGCATATAAAACACCAAGCAAGCAGCATTAATTGAACTGTTTGAAATTATAATTGAGGGACTGATTTTGAAATCCTGTTGTCTTAGTAAGCTGGGATAAGGCAACTTTGTACAGTCAACAAGTCTATGGACTAAAAACCAGGTGCCAAGCGACTCAATAATTTGTGACGAGAATCTGAAAAATCTAATAAACTTGAAAGTTGAATGTACCTTTATCTTCACACCAGTACCTACAAATTAGGCAATTGGTATGAAGGTATAATGAAAAGGGAGAAGGTTAAAGTCTTCACATCCATGTAAGTACCATACACGTACACTCATGGAGAGATGTACCAATCTTGGTTTCAGAACACTTCACTACCAAATGTGAGGAAAGGGGACTGGAGTAGCTCTATGCAAGCTCAATTGGAAAACAGGACCAACCCTTCATTTCTAACCTGATGATGATCTACGATGACTATATATTCCAGCAGCTAGAAAAGGGATATATGAGGCACCAAACAGCTTCAAGTGCTTCCTTACATAGAAAAGCATTCTATATCAAACCAGGTAGGAAAAGTGTAGTGTGTTCATTTAGATAGCAAACAATAAATGTTTTGGCTGATACAGTACCCAGCCCTCACTGCTCTGAACACACTTGGGGTAGACTAACCACATACAGTATAGGTGAGGGATGATGCATTATTAGTACTGTATCATGAACCCGTGGTACACTAGCACACATATTAAATGCCTTAACCCCTTCACTATGGGGATGCCACTTTTAATATTCTATTTATTCGGCTCAGGTGACCCCACACACAAAGGGTTACTTTTTACTTTTACTATATCCTCTTCGCCACTGATTGGCTCGTTGGCCACGCCTCTGTTACGCACTGTTGGCAAGTACTGGGCATGCACCGACTCCTGAATGTATCTGAACCTGCTCCAGTGTTGGTCAAGTCTGGTCTTGAAACAGCTCACACTCAGTGTCGTCACAACACTCTCTGGCAGGTTGTTCCAAGAGTTCACAATTCTCACTCCAAAAAGTTTGCCCTCACAGTTTCTTCAACCTTGAGCTGTGACCCCTTGTGGGGCGGGCGTCCACCAGCTCCAGGTATGGACACTCGACCGAGTAGTGCCCTTTGAGATTGAAAATGCTGGTTTTCTATGATTTCACTAAATAATTAAAATTTTATAGAAAAGAATGCTGTTTAATGTGAGACATTATCTTTAATCTTGAAATGCCTTTACCAGACACAGAGGACGATAAATGCTATTTTCCCACTTTCTAAGCTTGAAAATTCAAAGCCTTTTGCCAAAATTTTTAAGTCTGATTCTTCAATAAGAATTTCAAGCTTATCATAGTCTAAAACTGACCTATGAAGTATATGGACCAAAACTAACAAAACCAACATACTGTACTGCACTCCTGAGACTGTGTAGCTGAGAGAGACTCCTCCCTGAGGTGAGTGAGTTTCCTGAAGGCCAGCTCTAAATCCTCCAATGACAAATTTCCTGTTGAGTTTAGGAAACAAAGGACTGGCTAATGAGAACATGTTACCTTCTATATTTTTCAAAGGCCTAATTAAAAATGAATGATTGAAAAAGATCATAATATAACTATGACAGAAGATCATTAGTAAAGTACTCTCTCAGAGGTTTCTAACATATAGCTGTCAGCAGATAATTTTCCCAATTTATCATCCACCCAAAAAATACTGTACTCTTCATTGAACACCCAGGATTTCTTACAGTTTCCTTGGAAATGCCTTAAAATGATTCATACTACAGTATTCACGAATTATCTAACCGACTCCACCTATAAGTGAGCAATATTTAACTACTGTATAAATATGGTCAGCTGTCGAAGTGTTATGCTTGTTAGAAGGGAGAAAAGATACAGTATATTGTATGTACAGTACTCTAAATGACCTGAGACACTAAAGCCATCTACTTGTAGCTAACCGCTTCACTCCTGGATACCACTTTTTGAGTTTTATTTGGGTAATGCCAGAGTAATTTATTCAGCATAGAGAGACTCCTTGTACCCAAGGGATTAATAAACTATCTCCACAAACCCATTCACTACTGGATGCAAATTTAAAACTTTTGTGGCTATTGCCAGACATTTTATTCAGTACAGCGAGACCCCCATCACAGTGTTGTCTGATAAGGCCTTACAAGAAGACAAATAATGCCTGTTAAACTTACCTGACAATAGGGTTCATATTTCTTTATCTCGTTTCCTTCAATAAGCTCTACGTCAGGCACACCATTATGGATGGCTCGGTCATAGAGGTCTAGTAACCTGCCCACTTCTTTATCATTTACAGCAACAATCAACTTTCCACACTTCTTGTATGGTATTCCTGAAAATATTTTTTATGTTTATACAATACATGTAGTACTTATAATTTGTATTTGTGTGAAAGCTAAACCAACCTACCAGTAAAGACAATAAAGATCCTTTTACAGTACAAGTAGTAACAATTATTACACAGCAAGTTTTGTAAGTGATGACTGTAATTCATATAAATTATTCTAAAAATTGAGTAGACTCACAGTTCAGTACCTTCTTTATCTAAGTATTCATAAGCAAGTTGTAAGCCTTCAACACACAGTCGAGCTTTGAGAGAGCCAGGCTTATAGTAGATCCCTGCATGAATCACACCACTGTTGTGTCCACTTTGATGGAAAGCTGCAAGACAATAATACACTACAGTATTCATGTTCCAATAGTATTGTTATATGGCTTCCTATGTCTTTTATATGCTGCAATTATGTTATTATCACAAACAACTAACCATCATTTAGATTTGTACAGTATATTCTAAAGCTTACGGTTCTATCCTTATAAAATATACAGTACAGTACAGTATAAACCAAATATTTATACTGAGGCCTAAAGTTTTAAAGCTTTACTTTAATATGCAACTGAAGCAATCTTCATGCACTTTGTAGCATTATCTTGTTATAATCATAATCTGGAAGCAGTAAAATTATGCTAGCATCAATTATCTATCCACCTACAGTACACAAATTCCATTATGTATATATTTTGCCACACGAGTCTTTCTTCAACATTTCAAAGACCTAAAATTAATTTGATCTATCATTTGCAGTTTAATTTTGCATGCTAGCTTGCCATCAGATCTAAAAAAAAAACAGTCACAAACTTCTTACACTGCTAGAAATACTGTATATACTGTACAGTAAGAGAAAGGGGCATAACTGTAAGTACATCCACATGACATTTAATACATTGTATTGTACTATACAATACAGTATATGGTGTGATCATGTATCAGGGGAAGAAGATACAGTGATAAGGAGAGCAAGAATATGTTTCTATTATAATATACTGTACTGTACAGGTACTCATGATTTAAGGTTGGTATCCCCTATTGATGATGGGATTACAGTCCAGAAAACCCATAAGTTGAAATATCGTAAATCAGGACCAGTATAACATGGGTTCAATGAGATACGTTCTCAGCCAGTCCAACACATACTGTATATGTATTACTGAAAATAAAATTCCTACAATAATAATTAATGGACATAAAACACAATTAAACACTTTACATATCATTAAGAATTACCTTGGTCGTCATCACGTCCCCTTCGAGAAGTCACCAAAAACAAGAGCAAAAATCACTTCACAGTCACCAAAACAGTACTATGTGAGCATTAGTGATGTCCTTTCAATGTAAAAAAGAAAAAAAATAGTTAAATAAATAAACAAAAACACCGATAAGTAGCAACATTGATACTGACCAATAATCGTTGACCTACACGATCACAAACATGTGCGATCACCATGGAGCAAAGCTTGGGACTGTAGTGCACCGTATGGCAGTGCACGGGTAGACTGCAGCTGACAAGTGCAGCGAGAGAAGTACTCCATATTCCACATATCAGAAATTTTGGCTGGACGATAACCATCGTTCATGCAATTTTTATTTTAACTGTAAATAGGGGGGGTGGTCTTGATATATCACCATTGTTCAAATGAAACACTGTATTGTAGATAAGGAGGTCATAAAATTGGGGGATACCTGTAATTATTTTTATGTTTTACTCTTTGCATGTAAATTTAGTCTCATCAGATACAGTACAGGGTAATTACAAGTAACCTTTACATGTCAATATTCTTCCCACTGTTCATGTTATTTTGGTGGGCAAAGTCAACAATGGTGACCTCCTCAGAGTAACACTGACTTACAACAGATAATACACAGAGGACACTAGACATCATTCTTCTCTACTAAACACTGCCTACAGCCACATGAAACCTATAAAGTCATCTCTTACAAAAAAAATAAATAAAGGAAAGTTACTTAACAGACTACAGTAAGTGAAAAATTGTATTAGTCTATGAATAAGCTCTCACACAGAGTATTGTAGAATACAAAATATCTTCAAGGAAATTATATATACTGTACAGTACTGGGTATATATAAATAACAGTCACAGATACTGTACTGTATTATGAAACTTACCAATAGATTACAATTTCTCCACTAACCAGAATTCAAATATCCAATATGTAGATTTGGGAAAGCCATCAGTTTTTCATGAGATGTCAACTACAGCAGTTTGAGCTCCAGTTTTAAATCCAATTTGCCATACCAATCACAGAAATTGCCTCAATGCATCCTAGCACATTTGCTTATACTGTACCTGTACAATATTTTGATACTGCTGTTCAGGCAGCCTGTGGCACAATGCTGATTGGTTAGCAACACAACTCCCTACAGACCTTAGGCAAGCTATGATGGCATACAGCAATGAATCTGGTTAAAGGAAAACTCACTGTACTTACCAAGCTTGTCTTCCTTCTCCACGACACTAAGTTTTAGATGTGGGTGCTTGAGTGCCAGTTCTCGAGCTGTGGCCATGCCTACAATCCCGCCACCCACTATCACAATATCGTATTCCGGCTCATGGCTGAAAGAAAGTAGGACAAATAGAACAACACAATATTAGATCTTGTTGGGTTACTGTACATCCATATACATACCCAAATCCATCAAACTTCATTTCTCTTTGTGTAACTGTGCCTAGATGGACTTAAGAGACAATAAGGGAAAATTTTTACATACCTTCCTGGAGGTAACAGAGACAAAAACAATGCATTTGTTATTAGTAGGTGATATAGCAGTACAGTATCACACTTGCCTCTCACCACTGTATCCCAGGCTATTTTAGATTGGATGTGAGAAGGTTACTGTGAGTGTTATGGTTTTGTCATATACTGTAAAAGGCTCCATGAAACGCTGAGAATTAAACTGGAAGGGTACGAGATTCAGGGCAGTGTCCTAGTGTGGATCGGACACTTGCTTCATAACTGCAAGCAGTGTGATGATTAATGGCATGAAATCATCATGTGTACCCGTGCAGGGTACCACAGTGCAGTGTACTGAGCCCGTTATTTGTAGGTTTCATAAATGACATGCCAGAAGCTATACCATTGTGAGAGATGTACGAAGCAACTAAGCTAGCAGGTTTTATAAGGTCATTCAGATAACTAGATGGTTCATCCCTCAATGCTCTTCAAGAGTGAGGAACTTACCCGCCTGGAGCACTGTCACCCTTTCTGGTCCCCGAAATATGCTAGAGACTATCAGTTGATCGAAAATGTCCTAGTGCCTGCACTACGACACCTCATTTACCCAGAGAAATTAGAATGACTGCAACTGCCTAGCTTATACTACAGACTTGACCAACACTGGTGCAGGTACAGATACATTCTGGAGTCAGTACATGCCAACAGTGCATAACAGAGACGTGACCGACTGCCCAAGCGGCTAATGAGCTGATCATTGGCGAAGATGATGAGTAAAAGGTAATGTAGCACTCACTGAAAGAATTTGTGCGTGGAATTGTTGCTGGGAAGTGTTTGTTTGTAAACCCCAACATATCCAAAATGACATTGGCTGTAAGTGGCATTTTGAAGTCCAGTATTTATAAGAAAAGCTATAAAAACAAAACCTAAAAATTTGCAATTCCTCATTGTTATTGGCAATTTTCTCAAAGGAAGGAACTGACTGTTTCTAATACAAAATTTGTCGATAGGCAGCGGATATTTGTGGAGAGAATTCTGGACAAATACCCGAGGCCTACGGTAAATGATTTAATGTAACAATTTGTTGGAAGAGGTGACATTGCTATCCTCATGCATATTCAATGTAATCCTAAGTTAGTTCACAGTCATCTTTTGTAGTGTCAGATACCATTTTCTCAACAAATAATGATTATTAGAAATTATGTTGGATATAATTATGACACCGGTAATTATATTTTTTGGAAAATAGAAAATTTTAAGGACACAAAAACACATCATGATTACCAAAAATAGCATTACTGTACTGTACATGTATCTCACTTTCAGACAACACGGGAATCTGGTAAATGTGCATATTACAGCAACCATGAAATTTGAAAAAGAAAAAAAAAAAGTGGTTTTCTGATGGGTTTTGATGCGATTAGTTCAAATATGACCTTTGTTTTTTGTCAGAAATCACTCGTTTGTGATTTCGCCCCCCCATAATAGTTCTATTGACTGCGTGTTCTGAATTCCCGGTACTCTGTGCTTGCTAACTTATACCATATAACCAAACTAAACCTTACCTAACAACCTAGACGGGGGCTTTGCCCCCAGACCCCCAAGTGCTATGTAATAAATAACCCTAGAGTCACGTGGTCAGCCTCCACGAGACTATAAATAGCTGTTAGAGTATTTCTTACCTTACTCCGAGTCAGGAACCAGAATACGTCGTGGGTTCCTCTGTTCTCTAATGTTTCCTTATTTTTAGAATTAAATAATACAATAAACTTCCAATAATCGAAATCGCACCCAGCACGTTATGGCTCCCTGTTGCAACTGATTAAAAATGTCCCCATCTTAGCACCCACGCCAAATATTGAACGCTAATTGGTTGAATCAAAAGTCAAGATTTTTTATTGGATTTGATTGGCTGTGGCCACCCCCGATTTGATTGGTGGCTGCCCCCGGCACATGTGCGGAAGGTAAGCGAACGTACGAACACACAATTTGAGCAACAGCATAGGGACAACAGGTGCTCTGATTTTATTCTTTTTAAAATTCAATAACTTCCTAATTATCAATTTGCGACGGAAGTGTAATATAAGAAAACAATCATAGAAAAAATAGTTCTATCGATTGAGTGTAGTGAATTCTGGAATTCTGTGGTTGCTGTAAACTACATAATTACTGGGAATCTTAGGAATTTCATCATTACTATAGGTAGTATCGACTATTCTAAGACACTTTTCTTTAATGACATTTCCCTTGCAAACAACTTATATATGCTGGGGGGTTCAGGGGGGCAAAGACTCCCGGTTAGGTTAGGTCATTTGCGAGGGAAACATCGTAGAAGAAAATTATATTAGAATTGTCAAAATTATTGATTGCAAAGATAAAATTCCTAAGATTCCTGTGTTATCCAAAATAAAAAATTTATCCACCAAACTGTACATATATTACACCTTTACTCTTCTTACATACCAAAATTTTAACTGAATTCTCCAGTATTATTTTAGTTACGGTCATCTGGGGAATCTTAGGGGGGTCTAGGCGTTTAGGTTAAATATAGTTCCTGGGTTCTGTGGCTAGGTTAGGTTATAGGTAAATATAAGGTTGACCGAAACTAAAATTTTACCGATTCTCCCACACACAATGACATTGCAAAACTTCTCAACATTTCACACTCACTATGCCCAGGACTTGTATCACTTTTACATTATAAGTACTGTATATGAATTGATCGCATTGTTCAAATAAGTAATGATATTGTCCCTGAAGACCACACAAACTTATAATGAACACTAATATCTAGAGAGACCTGAGAGATTTGTTCCCACCACTGACACCTTTGACATTGACCTTCATGTTGCTATATAATTATAGGTAGCAACAACTTTCATTTTTAACCTAGAATTCTTCACCGGACACGAATGAACAACACTTGATATGCTTACTTAGAGGTTGACAAAAACTGTCTACATGTCGAAAGTGCCAATAGTTTATGTGACTGCCGTATTGTGTAACACCGTAAAGTACTAGCAGCAAGGATTCTCGGAAGGGCCATCACACTAACTACCCAGGCCAATGGTGTGGACCGTCTGAGGGTAACAGCTGACTGCACAAGACATACACTCACGCTGCCTACAACATGAGGGGAAACTGTCGTACTGCAAAACAAATTCATATGGGTAAAAATTCATACATGCATACATATATATAAACAGTCAACGAGGATAACACACAGGGTAGTAAAGACACCCATTTTCAATGTACTGTTGTTGCATCACTCGATATTACAGTGGCCGTCCTACTTGTGTAGTATTGGATTTCATTCCAAAATCCGGATACAAAAACTCAGACAAATGGACTCCTTACATAAAACCATAACATATCTCTTATTATGACTTATGGAAGCTTCTCAGGGTTATAAGGAGACCAGATTCTACTAACCAGAGAATGAGGCTACAAAGGAATTACTATGCAGAGAAAAGTGAGATCTGGCGAGTGAATGATGCAGAATTGCAGATTTTATATTTCTTTAGCAAGACAATCATCAGTGTCGGGGAAAGAACATAAATAAAAGAGGAAAATAGAAGGAGAGTGACACGCCCAAACTTCCCTTAACCCTTGAAGTTATACGATAAAACTCTTAAATTCCTTCCTTTCTGGCCGAGATGCAAGGTTCCTTTAAAAATCCTTAATCCCTAGTTACAGTAATTGCTTTTTTTTTTTACCCATTTTGCTAGTGCCGGCTCCTAGCCGGTCAGTCATTTGTTACCTGAACTGGTTAGCTACATGCGCCCGTGTTGGTCGCCTTTTGTTTCTTATAATTTTCAGGACTTGTCAGCTTGCTAACCGTGCGTTTAGTCTATCAGGTGTTAGTACAGGAGGAAGCCGGGGACCGGGAAACCTGTGATGTTTGGTTACTTGGTAGGGTCACACTGGATAACACCCTTGTGTGTCCGGGCAGAGTATCGAACCCTAGATGTGTACAAGTGAGAGTTACGCACATTACCGTCACAACCTTCTCTGGCAGGTTATTCCAAAAAATTCACAACTCTAAAGCTAGGATTTCAATCACGCGGTAGCGTTAGTGACAAAAATAAATCACATTGAAATGTACACGGTTGTTTCCATTGGCACAGTTGCGTTAGCGTTATGAGCAAGGTCAATGTAGAGTGATCTTGGTTATGCTTCTGCGCTTCACCTTGCACAGGATGTAAGGGGTGCCCAATAAACTAGCCCCCTCAGGGGCAATCTAATCTTGTCAATCGGTCCTTGTAGTGATTGAAAACACAACCGCATGGAAACGGATGAGAGAAACCTGTATCTTTGAGAAACAAATTAAGATATGACCAGGAGTAATAGGTCAATTATTATATGCTTAAAGGTTTACCACAAAGTTTACATGCTGAGTGTTCCGGTATGGGTACAGCTAACGCCAGGGGATTTTATTCAGCTGAAACCCCTAACACCCGGTGGGTTAAGAAAGATTAATCTTCCTGCTTGGAATTAATGAAGTAATTCCTTTTATATATAAATTAAATTTACCCAAAAGTAGCAGATCTTAAAGCTTCTAGCTATATGTGTATATATACAGTACTGTATATTATTTATCCATACAGTATATAGTCATTCGGCAAATATGTTCTAACTAAAGACACTAAATTTGTGATATTTGTCAAGATAAGATGTACTAACAATGAAAGGTTGATAGCTATGATTACCCTATCGCCAAGCCGTAATCAGTCGCGGTCTCTACAATACAATCTTATAAAGTCATTTCCCCGCAGAACACGTCTAAATTAACCTTCACTAACTTATTAAACTCACTTATATTTCTTACTGAACAACGTGTAACTTTGCAATCCGTTATTAATGATTTAGCTGACGGTGGCAAAATCACCAATATGGTAATGTCTTAAAAATCATCGAGTGGCACTGATCGATTGTCTTAAAAACCAGTAACACAAACTAATCACATAATGTAAACAATGTAGATGCCTCAGCTCATTATATTTTCACATTACGACTAATATTGATTATTTACAAGTGAACTCTAAATTATAGGATGAACTTTTGCCCTGGTGTTCATTACCATGGGTGTACACGACTCTCGCTCTACCAGACTCTGTCCACGAATACTTTCCATCGGCGCGCTTGTTCATGGCTCGAATATCAATTAATTGACAAGAATATCAATTAATTTTATTATCCAAACCTTTTATGTGGATCTTTCACGTTAATATTTCAGAGGATGTCGATATTAAGTGTTTTCTGTCGCAAGTGTAGGTTGTTGGTGGTATAATGTATTCCAAGTTTGATCCCTGGCGTGGGTTAGTCATGAGAAGGGTATTTATCCAATTTGACTTTACCAAACATGGCAGGTTTTATCCGGATACTCCGGTTTTCTCCTGCACTAACATTGGACAATGAAGGTCGTATTAAATGAAAAAAGAACAGACCGACCACCCAAACGGTTAGTAAGCTGATACGTGGTGGAAATAATAAATTAAAGATGGGTTTTGTTGTGGCGCGACGGGATGTATATGTACCTTCAGTGATGCATGTATGATTGTAGACTAGCGTAGAGTGTAGTGCTGCAGCCATATTATGTTAATGTCTACCGCCGAGACATAACAAGCCTCGCAGTGACCCAACCTTGTGATCACACCTGTTACTTCTGAACAAACAGGCGTGCGGTGTAAGGGTGAAGCCAAAGAACTGTATGAATATGTGAGCTGTTTGTTTCTTGAGAGTGAGGAGGTGGTCCATGTGTTTATGTAGGTGAGAGGCGATTCATACAACAGATTTTCGCCTTTTGCATCATGGCTCTGGATGCGTTACCAGCCACAGGTGTTACTTGTCTGCTAAATATATTCGAAACTTATAAAAGAGGAAGGAAATTACCAGAAAACATTCAGAAACTAAGTAATCATAAGTGGGCATCAACAGCGTCTAAGGTGCCCTTTAACCGTCTCTCCTACACTGCTCCATCACGTATCTGGGGCACCACACCACCTAAGATTCATCCTCATACAACCTCTGGCGAGACGGCAACAACATCCGCCATGATCGTTCTCACAGAACACAAGGGAAGTGTTCAAGGTATGTGAAGAACGTAGTTGTCTGTCAACAAACCTTCTCTATCTTTATACCGGGGTTCCAATTATTCGACTAAGCCAGGTATAGCAAAGAGAGCGTGTGGCCTCATAACACGTCACATTTAACGCTACACTACTACGAGCTGAGACACTAGAGTGCCGGGGATGTTTATGATTGTGAATGACATTGAAACAACATAACCTTAAAGTTGTATCTGCATGGTGTATTATCTGCCTAGATATTACCACATGAAGGAATTAAGTGATCATATAATCTACTTGGCGTTCTTCTTGGCCACTACAACGATTACCTGATCAACCACCCTTTTAGGAAAATTTAGTTACTTCAACTACAGTCAAAGACGTACTAGTCTGAGGCTAACATGCTCCCTTAACCAACTACCAACCCACTGAGCGCTCCTCCTGTTCATCTCTACACCTCGCAATGACACTGCTCGCCAAGGTCAACCAGATTTAGACTCATCGGTGCAACATTTCAGATACTTAGGGTGAAGTTTGTTATATGAGAGACATCACCATGGCGGCTCAAGGGGTGGCGGACCTACACGACGAACAGATGAATTGTACCGGGAATTTTCCCCCACACACTCATCCCCCCTGTCACAATATGTAATTTGCCGGCATAATCTATGGCCCTACAAACACTTGCGTCCTTAATGCATGAGTCAAGAAGGCAAGCATGAACTCCGCATGCTTCCCTGTTGGGCGCTGAAAACGCCTTTGCGCTTCGCCTTGCACAGGATGCAAGGGGATGCCCAATAAACTAGCTCCCTCACGGGGCAAACCTGAAAAAAATTCTGTTCAGATGGGTGTTGGTGGTAGCTCTTGGTTGAGTCTTTGGCTCAATCCCCCGCCTGGGTCAGATGTGAGGGGTGATTCATCCAGCGTGACCTTACCAAACATGGCAGGTTTTCTCCGAGTACTACGGTATTCTCCCGTACTAACACTGGA